GAAAGAAAGAAAGAAAGAAAGAAAGTAAGAAAGAAAGAAAGAAAGAAAGAAAGAAAGAAAGAAAGAAAGAAAGAAAGAAAGAAAGAAAGAAAGAAAGAAAGAAAGAATGAATCTACTGTAGGAACCCACCCCCCATATCTGCAGGATCAGTATCCACTGGTTCATTTATCCACAGTCTGAAATTATTAAAAATATTAAATGAAAAATCCTAGTAATATATATTTCTAAAGGTGACGTTACGAGAACTGGCCACTAGAAGGAGCCAGAAACCATGCTATGTATAGCATTCTCTATTAAAATAGTGTTTGCTATAATCTGTGTTTTTCAGCATCTGCGGAGGTGGGGGGGGGGCTTGGAACCGATCCCCTGCAGATACAGGGGTCCTACTGTACCAGTTTTATGACTACAGCAGCACAACTGTGCATGTGTGTGTTTTGGACTACTCATCCCCAAATCCTTTGACTGACCAAATCATAGGATTTCCACGCTGGGAGCATCTTGAAGTTGATCCCGTCCACCCAGCGCCTCGGTGCATCATCGTATCTCCTCTTCATCTTCTGCTTCCCATTCGAAAGGTACCCAGTTCCTTCAACCAACCTTCATAGAACCTCATTAACCCTTTTGCCTGAGGAGGGGTGCTTTCCCAAACCATGTGACAAATGAATCTAAAATTCATCCATGGAAGTTTATTCTCTGTTGGTCCTCAAGAAAAGACCCCTGTCTTTGGATAACCCCCAAAATTTGGGGGTGATCGGCCGATGGAGAGGGAAAGGATGAGGGGACCAAGATTTACTGCAGGTCAGAACATAACATGCAGAAAGTCTAACGTATGCACATTTATGCAACAGTATTAAATAGTTAATAAAATAAAACTTTATTTTACTTTTTAAAAACTCTTAAAAACAAGGGTGTACTGTCCTTTGTCTCTGGCATATTGGCCACCAGATCAGAAGGCAAGGATGCTGTAGGGTGAGCAGATCTTGGAAGAATTACTTTTTTTGAGCGTGTCTTCCAGTATCTTCCACCTCACTGGATATTAGGGAAGTTGTCTTAAATAAACTTTCTCAAGGTCTGGGAGTGAGTAATTCCACCCAGCACAGCTAGAACATTTCTAAAATTCTATATCGACATGTAAAAGGACTGCTGGCTTGTTTTTGTTTGTTTGTTGTTTGTTTTTCATGACAGCTAACTTTTACTTTTTAAAAACTCTTAAAAACAAGGGTGTACTGTCCTTTGTCTCTGGCATATTGGCCACCAGATCAGAAGGCAAGGATGCTGTAGGGTGAGCAGATCTTGGAAGAATTACTTTTTTTGAGCGTGTCTTCCAGTATCTTCCACCTCACTGGATATTAGGGAAGTTGTCTTAAATAAACTTTCTCAAGGTCTGGGAGTGAGCAATTCCACCCAGCATGGCTAGAACATTTCTAAAATTATATATCGACATGTAAAAGGACTGCTGGCTTGTTTTTTTTTATGACAGCTAACAATTCTGAGCTGGCTGGAGAGGGGAGAATGGAATATATTTGAGCGGACCAGGACACCTGAAGTCCTAATCCACACCCTTGCCTATGCCCTCGATCACAGCTATACAGCGACCACCACCTCTAACTCTTCGACTGATTTGTTGATAATTGAATCCTAGTGGAGTAGACAAAATGTGGACCTCCAGATCTTGTTAGACTACAAAGCCCATCATTTCTATGTGGCATAATCAGTGGTGAAAGGTGTGAGAAGCTGCAGTCCAACATCTGCTGGGCCTCACTTTCTCCATCCCCATTTATAACTTCTTGAGCTTCTTTTATCAAGTGGATTTAGGGTGCTTGCCTGCCCCACACCCCTCTCCCATTACTGTGCTTCAGACTGAGCTCTCCCTTCTTCCTTCAACACTAGTTCAGTGGAGGTAAATCTTTTTCGGCTCCAGTGCCCAAGATGAGGGCGTGGGGAAGAAACCAGTGGCCGCACGGTGTGAGAAGCTGCAGTCCAACATCTGCTGGGCCTCACTTTCTCCATCCCCATTTATAACTTCTTGAGCTTCTTTTATCAAGTGGATTTAGGGTGCTTGCCTGCCCCACACCCCTCTCCCATTACTGTCGTTCAGACTGAGCTCTCCCTTCTTCCTCCAACACTCTAGTTGAACACAGAACTCAGGAAGCTCCAGTGCCCAAGATGAGGGCGTGGGGAAGAAACCAGTGGCCGCACGGAAGACCAGAACTGGAACAGGAAATGGCAGTTTCAGGGGGAATTATGGGGACGGATAGGAAGTTAAAGGGGGAATCATGGGGACGGACAGGAAGTTAAAGGACCCAGAACAGGAAGAGAAAGGGGGAATCTTAGCTGCAGGCACTTCAGAAGGTTTGTTGTGTGCCAGAAGAAAGGGCTTCACGTGCCAGCTCTAGCACGTGTGCCATAGGTTCACCATCACTGCTCTAGTTGAACACAGAACTCAGGAGTAACTAGTCCAAAGCAACATCATCAGTTATAACTAGTTCCTTTTTTGGGCAATGTAACTCATTATGGCAAAGCTCCTTTTCAGCGACATCATCAGTTATAACTAGTTCCTTTTTTTGGGTAACGTAACTCATCACAGCAAAGCTCCTTTTCAGCATATTGAGTAACACCAGAGTTACTTAGGTGCGACAAGTTGCAAGGAGTTGCTTTCGAAAGTCACTTTTTAGAGCCATTCTGGATGGAATTTGCAGCGGTCCAGGCTGTAATGGAATAATGGAATTCTGGGAAGAGGGTCTCTATATTGACATCTGTGTGGCCATGCCTTGACTTCCACCGTTCAAGGCAAAAGGACAGGGTCACCTTGCAACTAATTGGAAGATACAGTATCTTCTACTGGCCAGAATCCTGTTGTACAACTATACACTGCACAACTTTACACGGCTGTGCGGCATCAAGTTGCAGAGTAAGATTCCAGCCACGTAAAGCAGTTGGGCTCACATCTCAGTCAACGCACCGGTCAAAACCCTGTTGGAAAATCCATGTGTGTAAGGACATTGGCTTGAGTTTTTTTCCTCTCTCTGTTTGCCATTCATCCCTAATTCCCTGGCCCGCCTCATCCAACGCCTGTACAACATTTAAAAGGAAGAGAGGAGAATAATTGGTTCTTTTTTTTTCCTGGAGGATAGTACCTTGAGGTCCATTTTTTTTCTTGGCTAGGTATTGGTTTCGTTTTCAAACTAAGACACCAAAGAGTATACTTCCCCCCCCCTCCGAACTATCTAGCTCAAATCCGCTCCACCTCTTGGTCAAATCCAGTGCAAGTAAATGACTTCTTCATCTTTCTGACTCGGTGAAAAACATTTGTGGAAATCATTACTCCCGGGGATTTCCAGCCACGGGCTGAAACCAATGTTTCGGAATGACCTAATAAATTCTAGGACGGCTCAACATTTTTTTGGCTTGGGTGAAACAAACTGCGGATAGCGAGTGCTGCCCGTTTGCCAGCATCTCTTGACCTTTTGTTGCCAAACATATGCCCCAAACAACAGACGGACAGACAGACCCACCCACCCAATGGGCTTCGCAGAACGGCCTCGCCAAATGGCAGGTTTTACTCCTCCTCAGAAATCCCACAATTTTGCAGTTGCCGAAGATTCAGCGCCCTAAACGAACTGAAAAATAGCTCTGGGCTCATCGTCCGTTTACTCAGTGCCTCTTGGTTCGAAGACTTCACATGGCTGTCCAGGGTGTCTTCTGCATCCACAAGGGTGTGAAAATTCAATGGCTTTGTTTTCATTCGTAAGGAAAGCTTTGGTTTCTCAAGATGACCACCTATCATTTTGTCCTTCCCTCAAAACCAATAGCCTTCCTGAGATCTCCTGTTCCAGGAGATTTCCTCAGGGGGGGAAGCATGATCATTGAGGGAACCAGGTCTGGCCAACCCTAGAAGTTGACCCACTTGGTTATGTCAAGGAGAATCTCTTGTATAAGTCTGCACAGAGAAGGGCAGGGGTAAGAAGGAAGATGTGAAAAGACCCTAACGCAACCATGAGGATCATGTCACTCTACCTAGAGGCAGTCATGCTGTTTGCTCCCGGATCCCAACCCTCTCAGACCCAGTATTGGCTGTTTTTTAATGCTGGGTTGGATGTCCTGCAGTATTGGAGAAGTTCTGGGTCTTGCTGACCTCCGGGCCCCAGCCCCTTCGAGTTGAGTCCTGCTTCCTTGGCCTCAAGGGAGTTGACTGGCGACAACGGAAGCCCTTGGTTAGGGTCAGTCTTCCGGAAGGTCTCCTGATCGACAACGGTCCCATTTTTGTATTTGGGGGGCGTCCCTTGGACGTTGTGCTTGCCCGTTTTGTTCCGCTTGTGGAGGTAGAACAATAGAGGGAGGATCAAAGCCAGGAGCAAAAGGATGAGGCAAATGGGCAGGATGATGCTGAACATGTTGGTTTCGATGAAGCCAAGGAGGTTGCCCTTTTCGGCTGGAGGAGTGCTGGTTGTCATCCCTTGACCTGGTCTTCCCGTTGGAAGGACAAGGAGCTCGCTGGAATTATGCCCGGGGCTTTCTAACTCAATAGGCCTAGTGGTCATGGCCAGTGTCTGAGACGAAGGGGTTAGACTTTGGGGTGTGGAGCTAAAGTCCTTTTCATGGAGACCAGGGTCACTGAGCAGCGTTGCACCATATGCTGCAGAGGAGTTGAAGACCTCCGTGGTGTATGTCATGGAGTGTAAGCCAGGCGGGACGCCCTCCGCTACCAGCTCAAACAGAAAGCTGTCTTGCTGCAGGTTCGGTTCAGAGTCATCCGTCTCCCAGATTTCTAACCCAACCAGTCCTTGCTCAACGTCACGTTGGGTGAAGGCCTCGATGGGGACAGGCTGGCTCTTTCTGTCCCTGGAGAGTTTCACAAATTGGCTCTTCTGGGGAGCCTGGAGGACTTTGAACTCTGGGTCACTCTTGGTCTTGTTGGCCAGCTCGCTGGCATCAAGCATGTGGGTGTCTAACTGGATGGTGGTACCTCTTGGCCAAGGGCCATCCAGTTGGGTTTGGACCAAGGCCTTCACTGCAATGCTCACCACCCCTGAGACGTTGACTTCTCCGGACATAGCAAGGAACTGGAATTTATCTTCAAAGGAGACAAAATCTGTGAAAGAAAAGGTCACTTCCCCGTCGTCCACTTGCTCCTGTGAAAATTCTGCCACGGGCTTTCCACCGACTGTAACCTGACCGAACCGTGGACCGTCCACAAGTCTATAGAGCATATTTGGCTCCCCTTGGTCCAAAGACCCCAGAAGGTGATCATGTGAAAGTGAAGCTACGTTCACCCCCTGTGGTATTTCTAGGACAGTCTGATTCGTAGCCCATTTGACTGCTGAGAGAACCATGATTTCCAGAGAAGTGAAAATGGGTGGGTTGTGTCCATCATAGATGGTGAGATCTAAGCTCCCCGTTGAGCTGGTTCCATTGGAGATGAACATCACGTGTCCTGCGTTGATGTCAGCTTGAGTAAACTGGGTTATTGGAAGCTGTCTATCATGGATGTTAGCAACAAAGCCACTGGACGATCCAGAAAGGATGTCATATTTGATTTCCTCAGGAGGGCTGTCAGGATCTATGACATTCAAGTGCTTTTGAGAGAGTACCATGGAGGAACCATGGAGCATCCGTAGGACTTGTTCTTGGTCAACCAGCCGTGGAGCTATCTCGTTACTGTCCTTGATGGTGATATTGAAAATTCCAGAAACAATGGGTCCCTCCTCTTTCTGTGGGGGCTGAATAGATTTCACAGAAACATGACGGAGCCAGGCATTAAATTGGAAATGATCATTCAGGACGCCATGCCCGTGATGGGCGTACTCTAAGTCACCTGCCAAGAGATCAGATTGCAAGAAGTAGGGGTGTCTTCTGTCAACTGGTCCATCGGGAACAGACAGAGTCCCATAAGCGGGTAACTCCGTGATCAGAAATACCACATCATATAATCCCCTCTTGGAGTCTGGCTCTGTAAGGGTGAGAAGGTTGGAAGCGTCCAGTAATGAGATGTCAATCACTCCACTTTGAGCTTCAGGAACAGTAAGACCTAAAAGAGAGAAGGAAAAACATTAAATGATCAGCAAAAGAATTTACAAGTTAGGCGTTACTTATCCAAGGTACGAAAATATTAAAAATATTAAAAGAAAAATCCCATAAATATATATTTCCAACTATGAAGTTACCAGAACTGCCCACTAGAGAGAGCCAGATACCATGGTATGTATAGCATTCATTGTTATAATAGCATTCAGTATATATCGTCCATAGTTTTTCAACACCTATGGAGGGCTGCCCCTTGTTTTTCAACCTTGCAACGAGTAGAGACAAAAACATTATTTTCTGACTCTAAAACAAGTAGCTGGAACAAATTACTTTTAAAAAGTTACTTTCCAAGCTCTGTTCACCACGCCTCTGGTTCTTCTATTACCTTTGTTTCTCCACAACTTTGTGAAGCCCTGGGGACAGCTGGCCTCAAACGACAGCAAGATCTTCAGGACGTAGGGGTCAGTGGTCACCGGTGGAGCAGAAATTCGGAAGTGAAGAGCGTCCTCAAGGCTCCAGAAGGGTTCGGGCGGCATTTCATGCTCATAGTAGATCACGCCTGCATCCACCTGGTTGGAGGCAGACAAGATATCCTGTTAGTCAAGAAGATAGCATGCCAAGCATGGTGAATTCAGAGAATGGTGGTTGTGTGGGTTTCTCGGGCTGTTTGGCCATATTCTGAAGGTTTTTCTTCCTAACGTTTCATCCGTCTCTGCGGTGAAACGTTAGGAAGAAGAACCTTCAGAACACGGCCGAACAGCCCGAGAAACCCACAACAACCCTCGGATACCAGCTGTGAAAGCCTTCGAGAATTCAATGCAGAGAATCATAGCCATGTAGACCTGGAAGGCTTTCTGTGGGTCCCTGAGTCCAACCCCCCCCTCCATAAGTTATAGTCTTCTTTCTTTAGCTCTTCTTGTCAGTGCTATTCCATACGTACCTACGAGGGATGGGATTTTTTTGCATATTTTTGAACTCTAAAATCCAAAAGTCTTCCGGAGCGCTCCAGCTAGAATTCCAGGATCACAAGCCCAAAAAACCAAACGCCCTCTCAGATATTTGATATAACTTACACATTGTGCATCAAAGAGATTTCTGAGTTCCAAGACAGAATATTATGTTGGCTGGGTGGAGCTAAGCACTTGTAGCACTGCAAAGCATTAGGGGCATTGTAGTCTCTCTGCCCAGTATTTTCCATAGAGTGTGTGTCCCAGGTAATGCAATCAAAAGACATTTGGAATTATTATTTTTCCCCTGAATAGACTGCCTTTTCTAGTTGTGCAAAAGAAAGACATAAGGGAAGAGGAGGTGGGACAAGACATAGGAAGACCTCTTACATTCTGTGAATGACACAGCAGCCCAAATATGGTTGTTGTGGGTTTTCCGGGCTCTTTGGCCATGTTCTGAAGGTTGTTCTTCCTAACGTTTCACCAGTCTCTGTGGCCGGCATCTTCAGAGGACAGGAGTAGCACTCTGTGCTCTGGTGCAGTTTGTTTGGGAGTAGAGTATTTATAGCTATGGGATCAGCTTTTGTCCTTTTCAGGAGATGGGTGATTATGGTGATCAGTGTGTTTTTGTTGTTAGTCTATTGTTGTGATAAGGAGGAGAGATTATCTGTCACTGTGATTGATGGGTGTTGTTAGCTGGTCTTTTATGTGTAGTGATCACCAGTCCTGGTGGCTGGGCTAAGCCCAAATATGGTTGCTTAGCAACACTAGGATAGGCCCATTGAATCCACAGGCTTTGGTGAGTCAACTCCCTAAGTTCCATTGATTCCAATGGGCTTGCTCTACGTGTGACTTAGAATGCTAAAGGAAATTACATCTAGAGTAGGTCGATTTCACTCAATGGAGCCTATGGAGGAGCTGATTTACCAAATCCCCATTGATTTAATGGGTCCACTCGACTGCAATTTACTGTCTGAAGCAACAGGATTTCAGACACTGAGTTGCACAATAAGACCTGTGTCTGGGAGCGACTTTAGCGGGGAAAAGAAGGTTTAATAGCACTTTGGTCTCTTCTGCACATAAACATGTTTCTGCATTCTAGCTTAATGGCTTGGGAAGCTGGGTACTTTGGCAAGCTTTTAGCATGGTTCAGTCTGAACAGAGAAAAAGCTGTTGAGTCCATATTGGCTAGCATCCATGACATCACAATGGGAGTTAAACTATTTTTGGTTCACGGTGTGACCCTCTATCACCTTTGGATCACCCACAAGGTATTGGTTAGAGGAAATGGGAGGGGCACAGCAACCACCAATCACAACCAAAGGTATAGGATTATGATTGGGTGTCATGGAAAGGGCACCAAATCCTCTTACCTCTGACTGGGTGAAATTCCTTAGTTCCTCTCCATCACTCCCTTTCTGGCTATTCAGCAACCGGCCAAATCGCAGAGGTTGGTCTATGATATAAAGTAGAGATGGGACGTCTTCCTCCTCATTGGTCACTGCTTTCAGATTCTGACTTCTTATTGGCTGAGAGGTACCTTTGAAATAAAAAGGGAGAGGAACCATTTAGTGGAAGGGGACCTTGGGCTCACGGTTTCCGTAAAGAAAAAGAAACTTGTTTCCCCAAACTCAAGGGTTTGCCAACTCTTCGTGGTCCTTCCATGCGCTAGACACATGAGAAATCGTGTGCTCCATAACTGGCCTGTCCTGATCAGGGATGAGACCAGCGGAACTGTTTGAGACTACAATTCCCAGCCGTCATGCTGTCTGGAGGATTTTGGAATCTGGGGTTCAAAATAATCACTTTCCTCTAGATGCAGGTAAGAATGAACTATCTGAGAAGATGACCACACTTTCTAGGATCCAGGAAAGACGTACGTACTGCTGGTCAGCAATCCATTCATCAGGTGAATAGTGTTCAGCCTGTACTAGATGGAGGTAATGTCCCCCCCCTCAAAATTATCAAATTTGTAGTTTCTGCCTATCAACCCACTACTATCCTTAGCAGATTGGAGTGACCATTCAAAGCTGAAGTGCCCTGTGGTCTCCTTGGGTAGATGCACCATCTCTGATCTTATCTGGATGGAGAAATTGTTTGATCTCAGTTTATCACATTAAATTGTTGAGGCATTGTGATGGGTTCAGAACAGGGTTGCAAGATTATTCATCAGGGCTGGACTGCTGTGTTCTCCTTGTGCCGTGACTCAGAAGTAACACGTTAGAAATAAAGACGTTACCAGGAACACGATAGTTTTCTGGTGCAGCTCTGAGACCAGCAGGTTATTTCCAGAAACGAAATAAGGCAAAGACTGACCTCTCTTATGGGGTGACACAGTGATGTACAGAATAAACCATGCTTTACCTGGGCACATTATGAGATCTTGCTTGTTTTCCAGACGGATCAGCCATTTCTTTTGGGCTGTTACCGCAAAGAAGTGACCTGGAGACATGTTCTCGCCATCCGATAAATCAAAGGAAAACCCTCCATCCAGGGGTCCTGTAGGATGGGTGAGAAAAGGGAATGAGATTTTACTTAGTAGAGCAGAGGCCACCTCTGCACAAAAATCCGAGTGCCTGCAAGGTTCTGGATAGGATAATTTAAAAATATGTTCCTCACCCATTCCTGCATGGAGAATACTCTTGCTATCTCTGATCACTGACTGGTGATATCAAGGGTGTTCCTCCCCCACCCCTCTCGTGTCCTTCACACATCTAAGATTGGAGACAGTAGAAGGAGCTCCCCTACCGCACTTACTCTCATCCCCCCTTTGAGACCTTGAGCATAGGAAGATGGATTCCAGCACTATCTCCAGCCTCAGACCAATTAGCATGTAGGAGAATCTTCGCACGTTTGAGCCAGGACTGGGGGATCTCTTAGGGGCCCCAGAGGTCAAATCCTACCAGCTGTGGTCCAGAGAAGTTCCTACCTCTTGACAAACCTAATGCTGTGACAGAGAGATTCTGGGTTGCATTCACACACCCATTCAACTATCTTGGGTCCCCCCCCCCCGTTTCTGCTACAAACCTTCATGGATAAACTGAACAAGCCCACTGTTTATCTGAGCTTGTGTGAAACGTTGGACCGAGGTGTTGGGTGATGGCTTCAGCACGACCTTCCCGTTGATGGGTGTTCTTATGGAATATACCACTTCCTCTGGAGGGGTGTCATCATCCTCGCTTCGAAGGAGATCTGGAGTAATCTCTGCGGTGGCACCTTCTTGGATCTGCCAGGGAGAAGAGTCAACAACGGAGTCACATTAACCCATCCAAGTTCTCCTGTATCAACTTCCCCATGTGTTCGTTGTGGGGGTGTGTGGCAGCTGGTGCTTGGAATCAGGGGCAAAGAACATTTTAAAAGAGGATGTTGGCGATCTGAACTGTCCTTGGAAACAGAGAGAAAAGTCTGACATTGGGTGGAACACCAAGGAGAAAGAGAAATGGGCTGGTCCCATGGTTTGAGCAGATGGGGTGCCTGCTCCAACCCGATGCTGCTCCCACCAGTAGGGGTGATCAGAGGTGTCATGAGATGGTTCAAAGGAGAAACCAGAGGATCAAACCAGACGTCATTGACTCCACCCCTGGCAACCCAACCCACCAGCCCCAGCGTCTATCAGCAGCCGCTAGAGTCCAGAAGAAGGGAGGACATTGCAAGAGCGCCCAGCTAGGTAAGGAAAAGGTGGGTTGTTTAGTCGTTAAGTTGTGGAGCGTCTATCAGCAGCCGCTAGAGTCCAGAGGAAGTAAGGCCATTGCAAGAGCACCCAGCTAGGTAAGGAAAAGGCGGGTTGGCAAGCCAAAGAGGGTGTACATCAGGTGACACTAGTTCTCTGCCTGTCACACTACTGCCTCTGTAGGCACACTGTCTGCTCTGCAGTTATGGTTGCACTCTGGTTCCATCATGGTTCACATCCTCTATTGGTGGTATGGTGGGAAGGATGGGAAAAGGTATTTTCAACAGCTTGTTTACTAATGCTTTACGGATAAAAAGCAGGCTTATCATGACATGACCAAAGTATTAGAGCCTCAGCTTCAGGATCTGTACTTCCTGTGAGCACTCAGGGTTGATTTCCTTTCGAATGGATAGGTTTGTTTTCCTTGCAGTCCAGGGGACTCTCAAGAGCCTCCTCCAGCACCACAATTCAGAAGCATCAGTTCTTTGCCTCCGTAGGAACAGCGTCCGCTCTGCAGTTATGGTTGCACTCTGGTTCCATCATGGTTCACACCCTCCATTGGTGGTACGGTGGGAAGGAGGGGAAACGGTATTTGCCAACAGCTTGTTTACTAATGCTTTACAGATAAAACCAGGAGCAGGCTTATATCACCCCTGCTTTCATGGGAAGGATTACCACTTCCTCTCTTACTCATTGCTGGAGGCTATATTCTCTCTATGTTCATCAAATCCTAGCAGTCCATCGTTCTGCATTGTTTCCAAAGGAGTGGTGTGTTGTGAGTTAGTGTCCAGATGCACTAGAAAAACATAACGGCCCTACATCTCTTCCAAGCATCTCAAACTAAGCCAACCCAATGCATAAAACATCAACGTATTATGTTCCGCAGCAGGTTAACGCATGAATGTGCATGCACTATTATGAACATGGCTTTTAATATTAACAGGATTCAGAGCTGACCTCCCGTTTTTACTCCAGAGAGCACAAGTCAGTGTATTCATTTGAATTCTTCCTCTTTTAACCTTCACAACAAACTACATGGTGATCTTCCTCCCTCTGGTTCCTCATCTTTAGATCAAACTTGGATGGGACAGCCATCTAAACAGGGGACACCTTGAAACAGAGGATTATAAGAGAGGGAGCCAACCCAATGCATAAAACATCAACGTATTATGTTCCGCAGCAGCTTAACGCATGAATGTGCATGCACTATTATGAACATGGCTTTTAATATTAACAGGATTCAGAGTTGACCTCCCATTTTTACTCCAGAGAGCACAAGTCAGTGTATTTACAGTATTTGAATTCTTCCTCTTTTAATCTTCACAACAAGCTACATGGTGATCTTCCTCCCTCTGGGTTCCTCATCTTTAAATCAAACTTGGATGGGACAGCCGTCTAAACAGGGGACACCTTGAAAGAGAGGATTGTCCTCTGTAAGAGAGGACATGTGGTCTGTATCCTTAGAAAGTCCCTCTCCTGATCGACTTCTTCATTTTTGTGATGTCGTATTGTTTTGTTTGTAGATGTTGCTGTTGTTGTGATTTTTTTTTGTTCCATGTTTCAGGTTGGAGGGAAAAAACCCTGGAAAGGTTGGTTAACCCAGCAGACCATGGCATCGCAGAGAGGGTTTGTGGCCATTTCAGGAACCTCCAAAGGCTCAATTAGGCTCCCAGTTCTTCACCCTTCATCTAGACGATGTCTTCTTTCTGGGGTTTTCAGATGACTCTTCTGAATATTGCGCCACTGGATTTCTGGTGGTAGAGAAGACCTCAACCTTAAAGAACACAAAAAGTCCCAGGAGAAGAGGCGGGGTGAAGAACACTGGTTTCCTCCTCCTTCATCTCCTCCTAGAAAGCCATTGCGTGATGGTTGGCATGCACATAGACACACCCCGGTGGCACACGACATTGGAGCAAACAGCAGCTGTTTTGAAAACTGAAGTCCCCGTGGAGTCCACTGGAGTCCACAAACAAGATGGTCTGCACCACGGCCAAGAGACTTTTCACACCTTCTTTTGAGACCTTCAGAAGAGATGAGGCAGAGCTTATGCCCTCGGTTGAACATGGGGCAGGCAGACATGACCCTTCTCAGTGCCAGCGTTATCTCAAGAGGTTCTCCTTTTTGGTTCTTCTGAGGAGAAGGCCCCTAAGTGCCTTAGAACAGTGATTCCCCAACCTTGGGCCTCCAGATGTTCTTGGACTTCAGCTCCCAGAAATCCTGGCCAG